GTTGTAGAGAGAGTCCTCCTATAATTGAAGGAATTCAACGCATAATCCGAGAATGTTCAAAGCATAGCAACGTGACCCAGATCTAAATTATGTCAACCATGTTCGTGATGCAAATTTTCACAGAACTTCAACATGCGGGATTTCAGCAGTACTAAAATATACTCTATTACCATATGACACCCACCAGACGTGTTACTGACACCTTTTCTGTATATTTCATCACTCACAATAATAACTGGGCTTCATTAAAGAGAGTCGAGAAAGAAAAAAATAATATGGCTTTTTCACTGAGTCATCCAAACTTTGAAAATTTCTGAATACAGTACCTGTGATTCTAATTTGATAGCAGATCTCACTGGATATTACTGATTTTATCACAGTATTTATATTATAATTTATTCTTCCGATTTACATAAAAAGGCAAATTATACATTACTCTGGAATGCGTCTTTCACAATTATATACATCAGAAAGAATTGCAGAGGTTTTCAAAGAAAACTTTCCAACCTTCTGACAAAAATCGAATCACGCGGGGTTGAAAAAAAAAAAACGTTCGGGGTTTGCAAAAGGCTTTCCCGTTTTCCATGAAATACATTTTGATAAACAGGTTTCGTATTTGAAAATGAAATCGATGGTTTCAGGTGCATCTTATAGTCGATGAAAACGCATGTAGTCATTCAAATAAAAATGGCAAGACATTCAGGTTTTGAATAGTTTCAAGATATGATCCTTACTTCACCTTGTATCAGCCTTTCCGAGGAAAATTTTTCAATAAGAAGGTTTGAAAATTAGGATCGGATTCCAGATTAACGCAGAAACGAACCCACGTAAATTCGATTCTGCTTTGCAGAAAAGATTTAAAAAAAAACTTCTGCCTCGTCAAGCAGGATACTAAGGTACTCAACCATCGGGAATTTCAAGTTCTGAAAGCGTAACTGCACTCACATTTTTCAAAGTTTTTCTATCAGCAATCCTTCCAGTAAAACCTCGCAATATTTCCCGTTAAACTCAATCCTAGCTCATCCCGTCAATACCCCCGGGTTCCGTATACCAACTTGGACTCATCCAGCTTGCGACAGAGAACGTGTAGTGGCTTTCATCCCCCGGAACCCCCTGAGTTGGGTGATTCGTATTCCGGTTGCATTCGCCAACGAGTCACTTCAAATGCGTCCTCACCGAGAAATGAAAGCTCTTCCTCACAGTTGAAAGGAAATTAAAAGGGGATAAAAAAAAAGGAGAAGAAAAGTCGAACCCAGGGCCGCCAATTTTCCCTCCAGCAGCTGCTGTCAAGCGCGGGGAAAATGACCGAGACCGACAAAATGGAATTTTCTCTCTGTGTGCCATATGTCGCAAATAATGCTAGAGTTATGAATCGGGAAGCACGGGTTTCCAAATACTGTACCACACACACATACACACACACCATTATTCCTCCAACATCTGTATCATCTATTGCAAACCAGAAAGCGGATTTCCCTGTTTTTTTTTTTATACTTGACAATACGTAGTACAGATAAAAATGGTTTTAAAAAATGTAAATCTGAAATTGAGTCATTTCAGGATACGTTAGATTGGACCTGATTCAGTCGTTTCCCAATGAATATACAAGGTTGTACAAAACAATATACTGTACAGATACTTTCTTGAACAACAATAAATGCATAGAGAGTTTGGAATAAAGGAAGCTTTTGGTTTCCCAGATGATGCTGACAGTGCTGTAACTTATTGTTTAACTTTCCGGGTGCAATAATCACAAAAATGGCTGAAACTCACGCATTTGCAGGTATGATATTCAATTTAGTGCAGTCATCAGATTTCGTAACACTAACCCGGGGGTAGACCGCGTCATATAGCACTCATTTTAATTTAATGATGAATATACAGTACATTAGTTGATACAAATTAAAAACCGGATACGAACCGTTAAGTATAAGCGGTTATTTTTCAGAATACGTTCCATAAAAAAAAATGCATAGTTTTATTTTTTCTGCTCATTCCATGGCGAATAAATCCATCGATATTTTTGAAACAAGGTCTTTCCGAAGTGTGCGGGACATTTCTACGTTTTTCTTTGCTTATATTAAAGATGAATTGCATAATTTACTCTCGAAGGGCACAGAAAACTGCTTTCCATATCAAATCACTAAGTTCTCCGGTCCAACCAAGTAAAGTTTTCAGCCTATCTATTTTTGATTGGGGAGAGGGTTTGGATCTGGGGATGTTGATTGAACCTTGTGAACGCTGAAAAGCGGAAAATAAAGCTTTCTGTTCATTCATTCAAAAAATATTTGCTGCACAGTATTCGTACTTTTAACCCACAGCACATTGGTGAAGTAACAAAGTCAGGTGGATGACTCTCTCTAAACGAAATTCAAGGTAAGAGAAAAAATCCTTCTGGAGAGAATTTCGTTGTAAAAAACTAGCCTCATAACATGGGGAAAGAACCCCATAGGACCAAAAATAAATACGTTATGCAGAGAAAATCGTTGTGGACGAGATCATCGTTGTAGAGAGAGTCCTCCTATAATTGAAGGAATTCAACGCATAATCCGAGAATGTTCAAAGCATAGCAACGTGACCCAGATCTAAATTATGTCAACCATGTTCGTGATGCAAACTTTCACAGAACTTCAACATGCGGGATTTCAGCAGTACTAAAATATACTCTATTACCATATGACACCCACCAGACGTGTTACTGACACCTTTTCTGTATATTTCATCACTCACAATAATAACTGGGCTTCATTAAAGAGAGTCGAGAAAGAAAAAAATAATATGGCTTTTTCACTGAGTCATCCAAACTTTGAAAATTTCTGAATACAGTACCTGTGATTCTAATTTGATAGCAGATCTCACTGGATATTACTGATTTTATCACAGTATTTATATTATAATTTATTCTTCCGATTTACATAAAAAGGCAAATTATACATTACTCTGGAATGCGTCTTTCACAATTATATACATCAGAAAGAATTGCAGAGGTTTTCAAAGAAAACTTTCCAACCTTCTGACAAAAATCGAATCACGCGGGGTTGAAAAAAAAAAAA